GGCTCCATCCCATGGCCCAAGAGATCATGACCTGAGCCAAAACCAAAAGTCAGATGCTCAACCAACTGAGTCACCCAGGTGCCCCTGCTTTAATAATGTCTCAAGTGGAATTTTGAAGAAAACGTTTTGTCAACACATATTAGTCAGTTTCCCTTCCTCTCAAAATGAAACCAAAAATAACAAAGGGAAATGCTATCACAGACTTAAAAAGCAGTGCAGTAAAAAACAGGGACCTCAGGATCACAGATTTTTCACTCAAATTCAGGCTCTGGCATTAATGACCTGAGTGGTTTGAATGAGTTCCTTAAACTTTCAGATTCTCAAATTCATTATTTTAAAATAGAATAATAATATATAATTTTTGTATTTGATGTGAAGATTATATGAGGTAACATTTATGAAGGACCAAGTAAGGGAAAGGTCCCAACGATATCTTTGCCATGTTAAGTAGTTTTTGAAGCGCCATCCTCGAATGACAAACATTGTCACAGTCTGGGCTTTGGTTTAAGCTGTTTCCTCTGCCCTTCCTCCTCCTTCTGCATGTCTCTAAATCCTTCCTCATCTATCAAGATACAGCTCAAATATTACTATCTCTGAAAAGTCTTCCCAGATCTCCCAAGGGAGCATTAATGGTTCTTTGCCCTGGTTCCCAGGCTGCCGTGTCTGTGTCTCCTTTATATAATACCATGCTGAATGTGGTTAGCTAATTATGTGCTTACATCTTCTGTATCATGACTGTGAGCTACGCGAGGTCCAGAACTATGAGATGTTCATCTTTGCATCCTTACTTTCTTGTTCTTAGGTAGATGTTCTCTGATTTCAATTTCTTTACTTAATACAGAACATAACAAATATTTATTGATCAACTACTCTCTACCAGACACTGTTCTAATTGCTCACTCTTGTGCCAGGAACATTGAGCAAAAGGCAAAATTCTTGCCTCATGGAGCTTACATTCGATTGGGGCTAGAGAGAAAAAGGAACAAAATATATAAAAAGTTTTAACACTGTTAAAAGGTGTGTGAAATGGAGAGAAAAATACAGCAGCCAAAGCAGGTAAATGATGGGTGGGTACCTGGTGGTTCCAAGGTTGGGTGTCTGCCTTTGGCTCAGATTGTGATCCCGGAGTCCTGGGATCGAGTCCCAGGTCAGGCTCCCCAGAGGGAGCCTGCTTCTCTCTCTGCCTATGTCTCTGCTTCTTTCTCTGTGTCTCTCGTGAATAAATATATAAATACAATCTTAAAAAAAAAAGAAATGGTGGGCCAGAGGGTATGATTTTAGTCAATTTTAAGTTGAGTGCTCAAGAAGTTCTTACTGGGAAGGCAATCTCTGAGAAAAGACTTCTAGAAGTGAGAGGGCAAGCCATGTGGCTGTCTTGGGAAGAGTATTTAAAGCAGAAGGAAGAATAAATGTAAAGCTCTGTGGAAAGAATGTGCCTGGAGTGTTTAAGGAACAGAAGGATCCCAAATGGGTGGAGTGGTGGGAAGAGTAGTAGAAGTAGAAGAAGAGATGAGAAGCAGGTTTAGGTCTCCCAAATTTGGGAGAAATCTTAGTCACCGTTGTAAGGAAATTTTAAAATATCACTTTTGCTCAGAATGAGATGGAAAGTAGGAGAAGGAATAGATAGAATTCAAGTTACGTTTGATAGAAGGACTTTTTCTACTCAGCACTTCTATAAAGTGCAAGATGTAAATTCCCTCAAGTCCTTATGTCCTGGTAGGAACACTGGGATTGAGGAGGGAGCAGTGACTGTGGACTGCCATCAGGGTGTTACAGGGAGCACTGCGTTGGAGGTGAGACAAACCTGACTGAAGTTCCCACTCATCCTTTACCAGCAATCCTATCTTGGGCATGATGTCACTTAGCCTCCCCGAGCCTCATTTTCTTCATCTGTCCTATGAAGGGAATAACGCCTCGCCATCTTACTTCAATCATACTGTGATAATGAGTTTACAGTGAGATAATAATATGAAGAGAACATAAAAGAAAAATATATGCAGATGCAAGAGATTCCGGATCCTCCAAAACAGATGCCTGCTGGCTGCAGAGAGGGGTCTGATTAGGCAGTAGGAAGAAGACAAGGTAACAAAAGGTAGAAAGAGGAAACGTGTATTATAAAGCAAATGGAAAATCTTCAAAATCTCTGTATACTCCTGGAGATCTTGGGCAGTTACTTCCTAGTAATTGCATCAAATTCAGGACTGATTTGACATCTGTTTTTGTTCTTTTTTTTTTTTTCCAGTATGGAAGAGGGATTTCAAATTGTACAATAAACAGGAATATAAAGACAGAAACTCTGATACGACACATCTCTGAAAAAAAAAAAGGTAGTTTACTGATTCTTGTAGCAATACAAAATATATTTCCCAGGGGTAAGTTGAATACCCAGAATCTGAAAAGGTAATTTTGGATCACATTTGTTGGGGAGAAGCAGTCTGCATGTCAGATGTTGAAGATAATAGAAATCTTGGGTAATTTGGGGTAAGAGGTTGTGATATTTGAAATCACAGAGTATCCAAATGATCAACAACATAAAATGGCAACCTGTAGAATGGGAGAAAATATTTGTAAGTACTTTACCTGGTAAGGGGTTAATATCCAAAATATATAAGGAACTCATACAGCTCAATAGCAAAAACAAAACAAAATGAAATAGTTCATCTGATTTAAAAATGGGCAAAGGGCCTAAATATTTTTCCAAAGGAGACACACAAGTGTCAAACAGGTATATGAAGAGGCATTCAACATCATTATTCACTGAGGAAATGCAAATCAAATCACAGTATCATGTCACACCAGGTAGAACAGCTATTATCAAAAGGTAAGAGAGATTAAGTGCTGACAAAGACATGGAGAAAAGGGAACTCTCATGCAGTGGTGGGAAAGCCAACTGGTAAAGCCACTCTGGAAAACAATACAGAGGTTCCTCAAAACATTAAAAATAGAAATACCATATGATCTAGCAATCTCACTTTTGGGTATATATCCAAAGGAAATGAAATCACTGTCTTGAAGAGATACATATACCCCCCATGTTCACTGCAACCTTATTTACAGTAGCCTAGACATGGAAATAATGTGTCTATTGATGGATTAATGGATAAAAAATGTAACACACACAGTGGAATATCATTTAGCCTTAAAAAAAGGAAAATCCTGCCATTTACTACCATATGGATGAATCTTGAGCATTGTGCTAAATGAAATAAGTCAGGCAGAGAAAGACAAATACTGTATGATCTCATTTATATGTGGAATCTAAAAAAATGGAATCATAGAAAAAGAGAGTAGTTTGGTGGTTGCCTTGCACAGAAGGTGGGGGGGGGTGGATAGGTAAAGGTTGTCAAAGGATAGAAACTTGTAATTGTAAGACCGGTTTATTCTGGGGATGTAATGTGCAGCATGGTGACTACAGTTAGCAATAATACTGTATCATGGAATTGTAAGTTGCTAAGAGAATAGATCTTAAATTTTTTTACTCCAGAGGCACCTGGGTGGCTCAGTTGGTTAAGTGTCTGCCTTTGTCTCAGGTAATGATCTCAGGGTCCAGGATTGAGCTCCTCCAGGCTCCCTGCTCAGCGAGGATTCTGCTTCTCCCTCTCATTCTCTCTCTGTGTTCTCTCCCTCTCAAATAAATAAAATCTTTTAAAGAATTTTTACTCCAAAAAAAGTAAATACATGAGTTATAGATGTATTAACTAACCTTATTCTTGTAATCATTTTGCAATATACATGTATATCAAATCATCACGTTTATACCTTAAACCTACACTATGTTATATGTCAGTTATATCTCAGTAAAAAAAGAAGAAATTAGCAGTGTCTGGAAAATGCAGAAGGTGGGTTTTCTGAATTTATTTTAGAGAGTAATGTGTATTTTTGGTATTTTGTAGGTGTTCTCTTTGTGTAGTTATCTATATTATTAAAGGTCCTTTCTGTTGCCTGAAGACAAATTTTGGCTATTAAAATAGGAAGCAAGACAAACAAAAGATTTATTGAAACACTGGTGTTCCTTTCAGAGTGAGAATGCCTAGGAAAGGCCAAACCAGCACAACTCTTGAGAACTCAGTAGAAGTACAGAGATCCTTTATTCTAGAACACTGCCATGATTATTATCATCATCATGCTCCATGATTTCAGTCTGGTCTTACTGTCCATATAATAATTCTGGGAGAATCTTTCCGACTCAGATAGGTCAGGTTTTATAGGGGTTTAATCCTCCTCTATGACCAAGTTGGCAAGAACCATAGCAATGGTTACTGGGTACCTGCCTCTGTGTAATCGGGTGGTAGAACAAATATAAGCGCTGCACAAGACTTTTCCAGGACTCTTCCATCCCTGATACTCTGCTATTCTATGAGAATGATAAAGACTCTCTGGAATAGTAATAGGCTTGTTAATTTAAAAAAATGATTGGTTTTTAGTCCAGGAGAGCGGGCTCAGATATATTTGAAAGACTTTCCAAAAAGGACATGTGGAACTTTTAACTGTGAAACGTCATACATTTGTCTAAATTTTTTTAAATTTTTATTTATTTTATGATACACACACACACACACACACAGAGAGAGAGACAGAGAGAGAGAGAGAGAGAGAGAGAGAGAGAGAGAGAGAGGCAGAGACACAGGCAGAGGGAGAAGCAGGCTCCATGCACCGGGAGCCCGACGAGGGACTCGATCCGGGGTCTCCAGAATCGCGCCCTGGGCCAAAGGCAGGCACCAAACCGCTGCACCACCCAGGGATCCCACGTCATACATTTGTAGGGCTAAGAGTTTGTTCTTTGGAGTCAGGTTCAAATTCTTTTTCTGTCATTTACTTATTCTGTGACTTTGGACTTGTTACTTTATCTGGGCTTTAGTTTCCTTATTTTGAACCATCCTTTGGTTACTGTAGTTAATAATAATTGTATATTTTATATTTTTTGCATCATTAAAAACTTTAAATATGCTCAGGAGAGTGACTGGTACCATCAACAAAAATCTCCTCAGTTGACTAGGATATGTGACATTAAGAAGACACATTTATTCTGATTTCTAGAGGCAAGAATGCTAAGTCAGGATGTTCAAAATAGTTGTGTTTGGTTGAACCAGGTCCTGAATCCTGAGAACTTGCTTGGAGCTGCTTTTGGGGCCTCTGCTCTGGAGGACTCCTGAAGCAGAACTGGAAAAGCAGGATTGGCTGCCCTTGGGTTATTCTGGAACCTTGTGGGGTGTGTCCTTAGAAACACAAGCCAGATAGAGGGAAACAATTACCAACTATAGAGGGCTTAATATTTAAGAAAAATAACAAAAAGTTTTTAATCTTTTCTCTAACATTTTTATGTCTCTGCACTTTAAAATGTGAAATGATTTATAATGATATCAACCATAATACTATTTGAGGAAATAAGCAACGGCAACAAAAATGAAAATGCAAGATATATGTGGCAAGAATCAGCAACAATGATGAAGGGAGGATGCTCATAGGTTAAATTTAGGGATAAAGTGAGTCATCAGTTTTAGTTTGAGTTTCTGGATAGACAGGAAAAAAAATAAAAGAATAGACCATGCTACATAAATCTTACAATCAGAAAGGAAGAAGTAGTTTTTAGGGAAGGCAAATTTTTCTTTCTCTAAATTCAAAAGGAACTTTTCCCATAAGACATCATGGAGTGGATATTAAGGAATATCATGCCCAACTGTAGTTTGCTCTTCAACGGCATGAGGATTTCCTATTAAATGTATTTATTCCCTCCACCCCACCCCAAAATGTATTTATTCCCAGGTCCCTCGGAAAGTTCTGACTCAACAACTCTATAGATGTGATCTACTGAGTACATAGTATATTTTTTCTTAATTCAAAACACATAATTAGAAATTAAGAATTCATGAAGCGCTTTCCCAACTTTTACTTCTTTGACAATAGCCTAGTGAGGTTCATCAGATTTTTTTAACTACAAGAAGAAAATTTATACCTTAAGATGTCTAGTGACTTAAGACACTAGGGTACTTGAATCCCTATGATTTATTTCAAATGATGCTGGACAATAGGAAATAAGTTTTAAGTCTACTAACATAAGGAGGTTGTACCAATGTGATCAAGCAGAGGTTGGGAGGGTCTCAGATTAAGTGTCCAACTATTGCATGAGTTGCTTTTGAGACCCTGTCCTATCAGTCATCTGACTGATGTACAGAGGTTCACCTTCTTTGTAAACCCCTTTAAGTGCTCACCGCTCCCTGCAGACATGTCCCTTACTTCCTTTCTCCAAGGCATGTCCAAGGCACTTTTATACATGACTTTCATTTCCCTCCAGAGTCCTGGGGTACATTGTGCTAAATGATAGCCCACGCTGTCAACTTCTCAATGGCTGGACATCATTATTTATTTTGATAGAAATAGGTAGAATCTGACACATAGTAGGTGCAGATTAAATAAGCACTAAAGGAGTCTGTAAGAAAGGGGCATGTGTTATAGGAGAAAGATGGGGTATCCACGTATCTATCCATCTGTCTATCTTAATTTAGGACATACCTAGAACTTTGGTCATCTTTTCTATTTTCTATACTGGAGAAATAGGCAATGCTGTGAGTCATTTAATTCTAAGTGGTGACCTGCTTTTGATTAGATGTGGCAATTATCATACACGTGCAACTTTTAAAGCTAGCTATTACATGCACAATCACTAGGGTTTAAAGAGATACTCCTGATCAAACCATTCAAAATTTGATCTTGGCCTTAGAGGCTTCCCTCTCTCTAGCCCATTTTTTTATGTCCCTAAGTTAAGCCATTCCTCCTTGCCCATCAGAGCGTGCACAATTGGTTCATGAACCTACTCAACGTTTTTTTATATGCAGTTAAAATTCTGGCATTAAGGTCTGGAACAATTAAGTTCCCTAAATTTTTGACCTTAATAAGGAGTGAAGTGAAACTCAGGGAGGCCAAGTGACCTCCCCAGGATTGCACAACCAAGAGCAGACAAGTTCAATAGCTTGAACTTCTTTCTTCTCCATCTCTTCTGCTCTTTATATTCCTTAATGGCACCTTGTCTATTGGACTATCTCCTACATTGAATGGCTGGTGTAGAATTCCAAGGATTCAGGGTGTGGGTACCAACGGTTGAGGTGCGTGCCAGCAGCCTCTGAATAAACCAGCTGAGGGTTGGAACCTGCAACAAGAGGTAAGCTGTGCTCTGAGAAGATGGAAATGGGAAATCCAAGTGTAAGTGAGTGTTCTTAGAAGCTTAGCTGGTTTGGGGGTCTGGGTTGAGTATGTCTTGATTCCAATGCCCAGAACTGATTTCTGTCCTTAGAAGCTTACAGAAAAGAATAGGTTAAGTTCCTGGGTAATATGATAGTAACTTGCTGAGCCGACATTACTAACACTCAGGTCATAAAGTGGAGATAATAGGGAAAAGGAGCATTCCTAGATCAGATATGAAATAGAGTTAGGAAAGACCGTGCTTCCTGCAAATACATGTAAGATAACTCAATTAAGCAAAGGGGTGGTGTTTTGTTTCTGTGGGCACCTTGAAGGCATGTGTAAGATCACACAGCTTGCTCACTCTTTTCAACTGCTTCCTTCTGCACTGTTCTTTGTTATTCACTAGCACTACTGCATAGTGATAGAATGCACAACCTGGAATTAAGCTGCCTGAGTTCAAATCTTTTCCTCTTCCCTTTCTCACTTGGCCATGTTAGTGACTTGGTCATAATCCTTACTTATAAAATTAAAGAATAGCAATACTCATTTTTTATAGTGATGTTAGAGTGAAATTAGGTACTATATATACAGCACTTAGCTTAATGCTTGAAGCAGAGTATGTATTGTTTATGCTAGCTACTCATAGAATAATTGTTCTCAGCTATATCATTTCTGTTTTTGTGTTTCAATATCCATTCTCCCAAGAGAATAGAATAAGGAACCAGCGAGTGTTTCTGAGCACTCAAACTATATTGTTTCTAGTTTCCCCTTATTCATGGTTTTGCTTTTCACAATTCCAGTTACCCACAGCCAACTGAAGTCTGGAAGCAGATGATCTTATTTCTAACATAATGTCAGGACATCAATAGTAGTCTAATGCTATATCACAATGTCTGTGTCATTTGTGTCACTTCATCTCATCATGGGGCCATTTTATAATCTCACTTCATCATCATCATCAGAAGGATGAGTACAGTACACTAAGATATTCTGAGAGAGAGAGAGACCACATTTACATAACTTTTATTTCAGTATATTATTAAAATTCTCCTATTTTATTATTAGTTATTATTGTTAATCTGTAACAGTGCCTAGTTTGTAAATTAAACTTTATCACGGGTATGTATATATAGGAAAAAGCATAGTATCTATGAGATCCAGTGTCAGGTATCCACCGGTGTATTGGAATGTATCCTTCACAGATAAGGGGAGACAACTGTAAATCCAACTATGTGAGATTAGAGAGTTTGTTAGTCTTTTCTCCTGAAATTAGGCTCAACAAATCTCACTCTTCTCATAAGTAACTAATTGCACAGTTACATGGGCCCTTATATTTTAGTGCACACAATCCCCTCATGTGCCAAGCACACAAAGCAAGTGACTAGCAGAGTTGGGGCAGGACCAGGTCTCCTAACTCCCAGTGCTTACATGTTGCACCCTGCAGCTGTGCCTCCTTTCTTAAGATAATCTTATTAGGTCTGTGACTTTATGATGATAAAAAAATATGTATTTAAAATTAAGTTTAAGAAACTACGGCAAAAACAAATGCAAAAACACAAAAAAATACACCTTTTTTTGCTTATAGGTAGGCACAGGGATGCCCAAATTACTTAAATAAAATAAGACAGACCCTTTGTTCAGTATGCTATTATTTTAGCTATAAATTGTAAGTTAAAATCACCTGGGGAGGGCGCCTATGTGGCTCTGTTGGTTAAGCATCTGGCTTTGGCTCAGGTTGTGTTCCCAGGGTCCTAGGATCCAGCCCCACATCTGGCTCCCTGCTCAGAAGGGAGCCTGCTTCTCCCTCTGCCTCTGCATTACCCCCTGTCTCTTATGAATAAATAAATAAATAAAATCTTTGAAAAAAAATAAGTCACCTGGGAAGTCACTTTGTTGAATGTTCTCCTTGTTTATCATCAAATTCCATAAATCCTCTTGAAAAGAAAAAAGATAAAGACAAAAAATAAATTAGGATTGAGATTAAATAAGAATGTTAGGATAATCACTAGGATGTCTTAAAACGTTTGAGCCAGTTTTCTTCTGTAGATTTTCCTATGTCATAAATAAGTGTCATAAATTCAATACCTCCATAACAGCTTGTAGTTTGTGAATTATCTCTTTGAATTTGCCAAAAAAATCTATTCATAGGTGTCTATTTATTTATATATACACTGTATAAGAGGGATATATTGGTATATTTGTTTAGTAATATATCCCCAGCACCTAGAACAGTGCCTGGCATATAGTATAAATTAATAAATGTTTGCATTAAATAAATAGTAAATGGATAAATGAATGAATTTTTATCTTTTTATGTATGAAAAAAACTTCTAAAGCTCAAAGACATTAAACAACATGTCCAAGTCACAAAGCTGGTAAACTGCAAAGTCTAAAACTGAGATCTCTAAAATCAGGAGTTAATACTAGAAGAACTATACTGTTCAAGGGTAGAGTGCAGGGTAGCTGCTGAAAAGATAAAATGATTAATCTATGGCCTTTGGAGGAGTTCATAGTCTAGTGGAGAAAATAGACACAATTGAAAACAATGAAACAGACATGAAGGTTCCTACAAAGCATTAGGAAATCTAGAGTATAAATATCGGCATTCTATAATCGTAGATGTCTGTGATGTCTTCACAGAGCTTGCCTTTGAATTGGACTTGAAAAAAGGTAAACAAGCAAGTCTACCTCGTAAGGCCTTGCTGGCACAGCGAAGAGCCATGTGCAAGGATGTTGGGGGTTTATGCAAACATGACCAGTTCTGAAACAAATCGTTTGTCATTGAGGCATCAGGTGTTTGACCTCAGGAGTGAGATTCGCGACTGAAAGATACACAGGCCTCAGGGAAGAACATTTTAACATCAGCCAAATGCATTTGTTCTGATTTTCAGCCTATGGAAATTCACAAAAGGGTTTCAAGCATAGCAGTAATAGAACCCAACTTGTGTTTTTGTTATCTGACAATGAGTAGAGGATGGTTTGGAGGAAGGACAGACAGGAATAGTGGAACCAAACATAAATAATAAAAAGAGCTCAGGAAAGAGGCGAGGAAGGACTCTGCTAGGCCAGCTAGTCAGTGGAGTTGAAGAAAAACAATGATAAAGCAAAAAAATTTAGAGGTAGAATATTCAGTGATTCAGGAAAGGTGGTGACAAGCAGGAAAGACCCAGTAATAATATTGCCCATCTGAAGACCCACGCTGGCTATATTTGGAGCTTCAAGGAGTAATGTTTAAGGGCAGATACATAAAGAAAAGTCAGAAAGAATGCAAAAGAATGGCTAGAGGTAGGGAGGAAACAGGAAAATGTGTGTCATGGAAATTCAGCAGGTGAGGGGAAATTCACAAAGACTGGAGCCTTCTTGAGGGGTCAGAGGAATTAAGAATATGTATGTTTTTCAGACAATGGTGACCAGAATCCAGTCAACATAGCTCTAATCCAGAGTGAAGAAAGTGCCCTGAAAAGCACTCATATGGTATTTATTATGTTCCTGACACAGTACTTACACATCAGATATATTAGAGCAAATCAAGAAAATTCTCATCTTTATAAAGTTCCCCCATCCCTGTCATTCTCTCTAATCAAATCTCATTTTATCTTTGAAGGCCCAAATTGTATCTCATCCTTGCCATAAACACTTCCCTAAGTATCCTGCTGTCAGTGACAACTTCATTCTCTAGAAATTACCTGAGATGATTTGCTGACATTTATCTTAGTTAGCATATTAGTCATCACTGCATTTGCTATGTCATTTGACCATAAGGACTGCAAATCTTTGACAAGGGAATTACATTCTAGCTTTGTCCTTCCCAGTTTTTGCCCCTACTTTGTGTCTATTAAGGACTTAGAACACATCTTGATGGTCTCCTCCCATTCCCCATCCCCATTATATTTATGGTCTTCCCTTGGACAGAGAAAGGACAGCTAGATTTTTCCCTTGAGCAAGGACTGCTGTGTCTTTCAACAAAGATCCCTCAGGCTTCCTCAGTCAAATTGCAATAATGGGTTTTAGATCTGATCTCTAAGATACTTTTCCTTAGTTAATCAATTCAACAATTATTTACTGAATGTCTCATTCAATCTGTAAGGTACTGTGTTAGAGCCATGAACTAGATAGATCTGGTCCCCACTTTCATATAGCTACATGATTAAAAATAAATAAAGATGGTGATATATATTATAATGAGGTAAAGTAAGAGAAGAACTATAGGGAATGAGAGAAGATAGTGTGAATAAGAGTGGCAATAGAATTGTTTTCCAAGGTGGTGACTTTTAGATGAGCTACAGGACAAAGCACTAGTCAAGAGAGAAGGAAAGAGCATTTTAGGCAGAAATGAAAGCAAGGGCAGAGAGCCCGAGGTGGTTTTAAATTCCAGAAACAGAAAGAACATCATTTACTTAGAAAACAATGTGGAAAAGAGGAAATGGTTGAAGTCAAGCTGCCATTCCCAAACCCAGAGCTGACATCAGTTGTCTTATATTTCAGATAATGAGCTTTCAGGGTTAACAGAAAAAAAAAGTTCCAGTTTACATCTGGGGAATTCCCCAGGGAAGAAATAAAAAGAAATACTATCTCAACTCCTTGCATTGCTATTGTTGTGCTTTGTAACAATATTCAACAGGAGTGCAATAAGTACTTTGTGCTTGCTTGCCGGTTTCCTCTTTGTTTATATTAACAATCCCAGGAACTCAGTGGTTGCAAAAGCAATCATAATAAGAAAAATAACAATACAAAAATAAACATCTGTGAGTTTCAATAATTTGTGCATGAGGATGGTATGCAGAATCCTGCCTATCCACATGATAACATATTGACTTAAGCAAATCAGAGATTACAACATGGCCCTTGATTACTTCTCTGTAGAAGTGTTTCTTAATCTGTTATTGGTCATAGACCCTTTTGAGAATCGAACAGAAGTCAGAAGCATTTTCCCTAAAACAAAAGTCAAGATGCACATTTACACAAATATGAATAAAAATTTAAAGGGTAGGTGGACCTTTAAGGTCCATGTAGTGCAGAGCATCTAATGGAGGGCTTTCAAAATTGATGGGCTATCAGAATCACCAGAAAGCTTGTTAAAAACATATCCCTAGCTTTGCCCTAGGAAGATGCAAGATGGGATGAAGGAAACTTCATTTTGTACAAGTTCTCCAGGAGATTCTAGACCACACTTTGTCAAGCTCTGCTTTGGGGTCTTTGAAAGAGAGACTCAGTGAGTGGAGATTGAAAGCACCTGGAAATTCAGAGAAGGTTGGATCCAGGAAAGCTGAAAGTAGGGAGATGACTGTGGGTGGAATGACAATATGGCAAAGTAGAAGTGAAAATCAGAGCTGTGTATAGACTGGGGTAAGATGTGTTAGGAGTTGGACACAGGGGCTTGGAAGCAGGTAGGGAACCCTGGGAAGATTCTGGGCTATATGCTCTGCCACCATGGCAATCCCTCATGATCAATACTCATATGAGAGGTTCTCTAGATTGTCTCTGAAAAGAGATCAGCTATTCCCTCTGCTAACCCTCTTCTGTTTCTCAAACTAGAAGATAAAGGCAGGACTCATCACACCTCTTACTAATGAACACTTCACTACCCACCATCTTCACCAAAGAATTACAGTGCCTGGACTGGGTGGGTTCTTTATTCTTTTAACTTTACAGATGAGGAAACTGAGGCACTCAGAGAAGGAGTTCACCCAGTCAAGTAGCACATGTGTGAAGACCAGAACCTGGCTTTCTATTCCCTGGTCTAGTGCTCCTACCCCGCTGGCACTGAGATAAAAAATATTTTATGGAACTACATGGTGGGAATGTACACACTCCAAAAGAGTTTAGGAAAATTCATTGCGATGCAAATATATCTTAAGGTAGGACAATACTTTGCAATTCAAATAATATATTGTCTTGCACAATTTTGTTTCTCATTCATTTTAATGCAATGTGGTCATTACCAAAAGCGAACTGGACAAAAGCAAGGTCTGTCTCAGTGCTTACGTGCTCCTCGTCATGGAGCGAAGGATGAACTCCACTGCATTCTCAATGATCTCTGTGCCCAAAAGGTTTAGGAATTTGGGGAATTCTGGCTCTGTTTTTTTGTCTGAGGCATCTGGCTGGTCATCTGGCTTGTCATCTGAAAAACAGAACAGAATCTCAGGTGATTCTCAGCAATAAAGGGAGCCCTAGACCACTTTGTATCCCATCATTAATTATACAGCTTATTTTTATTGAACAGCTATGTTTATTGAACATTTAATGCCTGCCTGGACAAAGTCTTCACTTGTATCATCTAACTCTTAAAAACGACATATATTGATACTTAGGTAGACGTGGGTTTCATTTCTATTTGAGAAAACTGAAGCTCATGGAAGTTAAATAGCTTGTCCAGAGTTAAGCAACTAGTAAATCCCAGAATGCCCTCTCCTCCTTTTTAAGATTATTTATTTATTTTAGAGAGACAATGTGAGTGCGAGAGTGAGCAGAGGGAGAGAGAATTTCAAGCAGACTGCACAAAGTGAGGAGCCTGACAGGGTACTCGGTTCCATTACCTTGAGATCATGACCTGAACTGAAATCGAGAGTCAGCAACTTAACCAACTGAGCCCAGGCACCCCCAGAATGCCCTCCCCTTTTTAAAGATTTTATTTATTTATTTATGAAAGACAGAGAGAGGCAGGGACACAGGCAGAGGGAGAAGCAGGCTCCATGCAGGGAGCCTGATGTGGGACTCGATCCCGGCACTCCGGGATCACGCCCTAAGCCAAAGGCAGATGCTCAACCACTGAGCCACCCAGGCGCCCCCAGAATGCCCATTTTAATGTTTTTCACCATGCAGTCCCCAGCCTGTGGTAATGATAATAATGGTGACATAATGATGGGTAGCATTTGTTAAGGATAGACCTATGACAGGTGATCTGCATGCAGTGTTACATGATTTTATTCTTGCAGCAGCCCTGTTAGGTAGGCAAAACTATGTCAAGCTAAAAGTCAAGAAGTTGAAATTGAGAGTGTTTGAGGAGCCAATTCAAAGCAGAGTTAGTGAGTGACCAAAATAGAGGTCAATCCCATGTCTGACTGGTATTAAAATCTGGATTCAAAAGCACTCTGTGCTGAACTACATAGCCCCCCCCTTTTTTTTTTTACAGTGGAGATACCTTTGTTTCTTTATATTCTTTAATTTTTCTACAACAAACATAGAATACTTATAAAATACAAGGTATCAACAACAAAAACAAATATGAGCTATATGGCCTTTGATAGAAAAGTTATGATCTAACCACAAGTATAAGATTGAAAGCAGTATAATAAGAATGACAAGGAGAAATTCTATCACTTGTATATCATTTGATAGTCTGTAAATAGGACTACAGGCCTAGTCCTGTAAATAGGATATACAGGACTTTACAAATGCCCTGTGATTTTACCCTTGACCTTTCTAATGGGGTATGTACTTACTAAGAAACTGAACTAAGAAACTGAAAAGATTAGGAAACTGAAAAAATTAAGTGACTTGCAGGAGATCTCACAAATAGGAAGAGAGGATGGAACTCTAAATTCAGGCTTCTCACTCTTAACTCTTAGTCAAGTGCCCATTAAATGAGGACCAAGGATCCAGAGAATGAAGCTGGGGACATGCAAGTTCCCTTGGGGGGTATTGGCTTTGCTTTGTGGTCTAAATGGTTCAGGAGATTAAAAATAATGAAGAGTGGCATTTAGCTGGTTCAAGTGGCCTCCCTCTTGGACTCTGGTGTTTGGATGAAGTGGGACCTTTAGCTTTTAGTGTTATTGTAGCTTCACAAGTAGTGTTGCCAGATTTGGTAAATAAAAAACATGATATAATACTATCCTTGAGCAGTTTTCCCCTGAAGACATTTATGAGGTACAAACAGCAATTCTTTGCATGAAAGGTGAGTTCCTTTTGCCTCGTGTTGCTCTATGCTTACTTGCATAACAAGTTGATTTTACTGACTTTTTATTTTAATATGATGCGAAATGCTAACTTTTCAATATGCAAAGAGCCCTGGTTTGGAGTATGTGTGAAGATTGGAACCTTAGCCTTGAACCACATCTGTATTAAGAAGTTTCAGAGTGGGATCCCTGGGTGACTCAGTGGTTTAGTGCCTGCCTCTGGCTCAGGGCGTGATCTTGGAGACCCAGGATCGAGTCCTGCATCGGGCTTCCTATATGGGGCCTGCTTCTCCCTCTGCCTGTGTCTCTGCGTCTCTCTCTCTCTGTGTCTCTTATGAAAAAATAAAATAAAATAAAATAAATAAAATAAAATAAAATAAAATAAGAAGTTTCAGAGTATGGTGGACCATGTGTTTTGGAGTCCTGTATACCTGAGTTTGATTCCTGTCTTCAGCAAAAAAATCCATCATGTGACCTTACACACAATACTTAACCACTCTCAGTTTTCTCATTGTGTTTAGGATCGGAAGAGATTTTGTATATCTTTCATATGTATCACATACGTTTGTGTATACCCAAATCTATATATCCATATCATGTGTATACCACTTATCACAGTACCAGGTCCTTGGTAAACCCACAATAAATAACTGCTGCATTATTATGGATATATGTCCATAATAATGGGTGCATATATGAATAAAATATATTAGTAATAATAGTAACAAAATGATTCATAGTTTTTTTTCCTCTGGTGCTTTAGGAGATTATGAAAATTAAAAACTGCAGTTAAGGAATTAAGAAATTTGAAAATGTTGAAAAGCAGAAAAATAAATAAAAATAATAAAAATTAAGAAGTCTGACATACTGGAAACAAAATATCAAAACCAATAGTAGAATATTTTTTTCTTTTCAAGTATAATATGGACTAGTCTTTATTTACATCAACTACTTGGTTGAGGTTTTCTGTCAAGGTAATCACAAAATTCTGAAAAGATACACTCCTGCTGATATTTATATAGTGTTCATGGTTTACAAAGTGATAACAAGGGTATATTCACTTGATCTGGTGAAGTTGATTGTTATCCCATTTTACAGATGAAGAAACTGAAGTTCAAAGCAGTGAACTGATTTAACTAGTTTCGGAGTTCATGAGACACGGAGCTGAGGACTGGTCCTTAAGCTGCCATCTCATCTTTCCCTTTATTGTGGTGATGACTTCAGGAGGTGATAGACACATTAGTGTCTGAGGTCGTCTTTGTGGCAGTCTGCCTGTATGTTCTGCGGGTGGAGAGTGGCTGGCTGACGAGGTGGAGTTCTGACAAGTTACATGCAGAACATTTCAAAGGGCTCTGTTACTAAATTACTTGCACTGGCTGTGTTTTCTGACCTATCCTTCTGAATAAAGACAAGTCAAGAGCTTACCTTCTTCTGCAAGCCCAAAATAAATTAAGGAGAATCTTCAAGCTGCCTTGTGGTCCCCTACATGCTCAGAACAGACACGAAAGAAGTAGGCGCTTGGTCATAATGGACAGAATCGAGGGACCCGGGGTTCCAGTCCCAGGCATGTCACTTCTACCTGTATCTATGCCCAAGTGACTTGCCTTCTGCAAGCTTTGTTAACCTGCTGAAGGAGAAGTGATAAAACTTGGAATGTTTACTTAAAAGGATTTTTATGAGAATCAAATGAGATAATATATGATAACAATAACAGTTAATATTTAGCAGGTGCTTATTAAGGACCAGACTTTTGTCTCTTATTCAGTTTTCTTCAGTTTTCATCACTTTATATGAAAGTTAACTACTGATACTCCCTTTAACACGTGAGGCCCAGAGAGGTTGAATAACCTGCCTGAAGTCACATTTCTGATGAGTGGTAAAGCCAGATTTACGAGACTTACTCCAGGGTATATGTTCTTTACCTTTGAACATTGTTAGTTAGAATCATCAAAAAATAAGTACCCCCTCGGCTGTCAAAAAATTTATATTAGTGTCACTGCGTTGCATGAATATGTAAGAAAAAAGATCATTCCAAACTTCATACATTTGCTGAGGTTAGAGGCTGTCACTGAAGCACATTAGAATACAAATCCTACTCTCTTTTTGTTAGAAGATCTGCCTCTTGTCCTCTTGCCCAGGGCTCTTTCTGCACTGCCCAAAGCCCCGTCTCCCTCTTTCCTCTTTGAGTTCTGGATCAGTGCCACCACCTTCCTCTAATCCTGGCTAACTACCCCACATTGCATGGGCTGCTCTTGGAAGCACTTACCGGCCTGGCAAGTCAGGATCAAGATGAATAGTCCCAGGACGATCGTCAGCCGCAGCACTGAGACAGCCATGCTTGCAGGCTTGGGTACAGGTGCAGATAACCTGCTCAAATGCACCCCAAGACTTGTTCCATTTATAGAGCCTTTATAGGTGACATCATCTGCTGTGGAATTTAGGTTGTTGCGCAAGATATCTGCACAGCTTGTGCTTGGATTTCTACTAATGAACCCTGCCCTATCTTTTAAACCCTAAGTTTTTCACTTAGGTAAAGGAAAACCCTATTGCTTTCTGTAATGTGTATTTTATAAACAGCACTACGGTAACCCTGTTAGAGGTAGTTCCAATGGCAGCATCAATGATTTGATGGATATCAGGCAGTTACTATGCAGGGCTAAGGAGCAGGCCACAAATCAGATTGGTGAGGTGTGCCTACTGCCCTCCTTCTGCCCTCTGCTTGTTTTTCCATGCTCGGAACTAATTACTTGTCCCCACATCGGCATGCCCATTCACACCCTCTTGCCACTGGCTAATGCTCTTTATTTTTCCCAGGATAAACCTCCCCATCATCTCCCCTTATTCCTACTTATTCCTCGGACTCAGGTTTAAATGCCCTTCCCTGTGGAACCTTCATGATGATGATTCCACCCCACTCCAGACAGTTGCTCTATCATCTGCCTTCTGGAACCCTAACATATTGTTTGAGAACTAAGTACTTGAAGAGATCTCTTCTCCTTTTGTGCATGGATCTCTTAACAACAGAGTTTTTTTTTTTTTTTATTATTAACTACTGAATCTTCAAGGAGCTTAGTATGAATCTTCTAATTGGTCTCAGCTTTGACTTCACATCCTTGGGAAGCTCATTCCGGTTCTTCCTGACAGAGGTAGATGCTCAGCTAGGTGCCTGATAGGTGGGTGTTTAAATGTCTCCATCAATACACTGTAGACTCCTTAAGGGCAAGACTGTTGTTTTCAGAGTTCGATACATGTTACTCAAGGCATATAGCAAACATCAAAAAAGAAAAGAAAAATACATTTTTCACTCAGTAAAAGGGGATATTGAGGTTGAAATGCTGCTATGTATCTCAAGTGTAAAATATATTTCCTCTTGAATATGAACAATCAAGGGGATAAAATTTAGTTCAAGTCTATATGATATTGGTTATCCTGATACCTTTTATAAATTTAACTAATTGGGATGAGCCTTTAGTTCCTAAACTTATAGATTGACCAAAACATATATACTGTATCAGATGGCCCAATTATGTTAATTGACATATGGAAACAGGAGGCTTGTCTGGTGTCACAGAGCCCGGACATGGCCCTCTCACTCAGGTTAGTACTTCTTACAAGACACAAAGCTGCACTTGGAAGCCATCAGGCAGCTCTGCTTGGACCCTTCCAGGTTTCCTCTCCAACTACAATCTATCTTTTTTTTTTTTTTTTTTAAGAGAGTGTGGAGGTGATGGTTGGAGGGGCAGATAGAAAAAGAATCTTAAGCAGCCTCCATATCCAGGATGGAGCCCAACATGGGGTTCAATATTAGAACCCTGAGATCATGACCTAAACTGAAATTGAGAATGGCCACTTAACCGACTGAATCACCCTGGTGTCCCACACCAAATTATCTTCTTAAGACCCTAATCCTGTTTCTCCTATACAAAGGGTTGTGACCTAGAGATAGTAGTCCATAGTAGGAAGCTTTCAATGAGTTAGATTTATGCCATCAGGGTCACTGCTTAAGAGAGAGCACAGTGTTTGTCTAGTGGTATTTGTGGGAAAAAATACTCAAGCTTCCTCTTTTAGCCATGCCATGGCCCCTAATATGTGGCTGTAATTTGCACAGGAAAGGCTAATAGTACCTCTGCTTTGCATGAGCTTTGAGCGCTCAGGGGGCTCTAATTCACCATAAGAACGCTGTACAGGCAAGCAAAGACTCTAATGTTGCAACCTGGAAGCTAGGCCCTGCTGGCTTCTCAAAGATACCAGCTAAATGGGGCATTCAGACAAGTTCCTGAATCAGTTTTCAGTGTCTGGTGTCAAGGAAATAACACCACATTGAGGGTCAGGATAGCAGGATTCTATTCCTGTCAGTACAACTAACTCATTTTGTGACTCTGATTAAATACTCCCTCGGTCTGATGCTCAGTAGTCTGTGTCTGCTGTATTTTAATCTTTTCATTTCTGTTGGTTTATTCCTTTTAGTTTCAGATTTCAGTTAAAATGCCTCTTTTTTTTTTTTGAGAAAACTGTGATTCTAATCTAACCCAGACCCCTCTTTCGTAATCTTTTATACACTCTGTATTCTTCCTTCTTAGGATTTAAATATTATTTTTTCTTTCATTATTTAATGCCTTTCTTTGCCAGAGATGTTAAAATCCACTGTGGAAGGATTCTGGTCTCTGTTCACTGAGACATCTCTGGTTTCCAGAATACCCAACAGAAGCCTATGAAATAAATGAATTAATAAATAGTTTTGAGAAAAGAAGTCTGGACTTGTGTGATAGTTCTATCAGTTAATATCTGTGATGCTGGCAAATGATTGATGCCACACTCTCGGTTTCCTCATCTATAAAACTGGAACATATTATAAGTCTCAGCCTACTTGTCTGCATTATTTAAAGATATAGAAGATAACAGATAAAATACCCGATAAGCTGTAAAGAAACTTTATTTGTTTCCTCAGTTTTATTGAGATATAATTGACATACATCACTATATAAGCTCAAGGCATACAGCATGATGTTTTGATTTACATATATTGTGAAATGATTACTGCGGTAGGTTTAGCTAACATCCATCTTCTCATATAAATACGATAAAAAGAAAGAAAAAAGGAAAAAAATTTCTTCTTGTGATAACTCACAGAATTTATTCCCTTAACTTCCCTATGTATTATAAAGTATGTTAGTTAGACTCCTATTGTACATTCAGAAATGAGAGTTTGTACCTTTTGACCACCTTCCTCCAATTTCCTCTCTCCCCCTTCTCTGCCTCGGGTAACCACAAATCCATCTCATTTTATGTGAGTTTGGATTTTTATTGTAGTTTTTTTTAATTCCACATATAAGTGAGATCATACGGTATTTGTCTTCATCAGTCTGACTTATCTGACAGCATAATGCCTTCAAAGTCCATCCTTGTTGTTACAAATGGTAGGATTTCCTTGATTTTTTTATAGATGAATAATATTCTGGTGTGTGTGTGTGTGTGTGTGTATGTGTGTGTGTGTGAAGCATCTTTATTCATTCATCCACTGATGGCCACTTAGGTTGCTTCTATGTCTTGGTTGTTGCCTTTAATGTGTGTCATATGAGTAGCAGTTTACAAGCTGTGACTTATCCTCCATTGGTATAAACAAATGAATTGGATTTGCTTTTAACTAGGAGAAACTGAGATTTTGAAAGATTTTTTTATCCAAGTTGGAAAGAGGAAGAGAAGGACCTTGCCTTGGAATGCCATTCTAGCTTGGAAAGAAGATATGAGAATGGAAGGAATAGGAAATCTAATTCCTATGGACATTTCCATGCATAAATTAAAGTCATCAGATTTCTTAGTCCAGGAAAGAACTGCAATCGGGGTTGGAAGTCTCACAGAAGGACTTTGATGTATGTGTTACTGGTTAAGCGTGCATGGACCTGGGTTTGAGTTTCAGATTTGCCACTTACAAGTTGTATTACCTTGTCACCTTACAAGTACTTCCTAATTTCTTTATGCTTTGTAGATCCAATATCTACAACATAGGAATAATGATATCTCTCAGGGTTGTTACAATGATTGGATGAGAAAATAAATGCATACAGTTAGCACAGTGCCTTGAATATGCTAAGTAAAAAAATAGTGGTAGACTAATCATACTATTCCATTCAGTTCCATTCCACCCTACCCTATCCTATTATTCTACCCTGTTTTATTTTATCCTGTTATGTCTTATCATTATTATCTTCCCTCCTGTCTTGTAGCATCCTGTTCCACCCTGGGTTGTCCCAGAGGATGGAGTGACAGTTAGCCATGGAAGCAGCATTACAGGTAATAATAGTAATAGGCTAATGTTGGTAACTCTAGCCAGGTATCACACTAGATGCAACATGTCAGTGAATCTGGTGGGAGGCTACTATTACTATCCTAATTTATATAAGGAGTTCAAACTTGGAGAAATTAAGTAATTTGTCCAGACTTACAAATCATGTGTGAGCCCCAGCAAGGAATTCAACTCAAGGATGTGTGGTTTCAAAGTTTGTACTCTTAACTATTACATTATGTTGCACTGGCATGTTCTCAGGGCTGTTACTGGCAAAAAGCAAGGGTCAAACAAGGAAGCTTGCACTCACTGGTCTGTTCACTCACAGATCCATCTGTGTTTTTGTTTTTCCTATTGGTCTGTAGGTTTCCCACTGATTTCTGGATGAAGATCTGACTCACCTCATTCACCTCTGTTGTATCTCAGTTTGATATATCAGAGGTACCAAGTGTCTTAATCCTTGACAGAAAATAAACCAGAGATAGGGTTATAGAATAAAACACAAGGTGTCCACTTAAATTTGAATTTCAGATAAACAGTGAATAATTTTTTCATATAAGCATGTCCTAAATATTTCACAGGACAAAGTTATACTAAAAAAATATTTGTTATTCAGCTGAAATTTAAATTCAATCCAGCATCTTATACTTTTATTTACCCAATCTTGGCAACCCTATAAAGGATAGGCCCTCATGAGTGTTTTCTTGCATTTAACGCCAGATCTAATAACTAGAATGGGGGGAGTCAAGTAAATGATTAAAAATTAGTATGTAAGAAGTTAAAATCGCATGTGGAAAGTGGAAATCAGAAGTTATTGAGGACCCAGTTCCTCTTTAATATCACATCTGGGACATATTTTACCCCTGTGTTCCTCATAAGGAAATTATTAGCCCATCTCTTGTTCTTGATTCACTCTAGCCAAAGTTTCAGACCAGCCCTGGAAAGAATGCATGTGGCTTAAGGAAGGGCTTCCCTGCCCATGGTGACCACATGCTGAGGAGTGACCATAGCCTTTGTCACCTTTCTGCACGTAACTTACATCTTAGTCAACCCTTATGCCACTGATCAATTTATTAATTTCT